GACAAGTATAACAACGTTTACGAGAACAGCGAAAAGTACCAGGTTCTTTGTTAGAGGGAAGAACTAAAATGATGATGCAACTACTCAAGATTTGTCCTCAACACAGGAAACCCATTATTCATATTTCTTGCGTATTTCCACCTTATAAAATTTAATCTAAAATGGTCTCTTAAGCACACTGTAAATCAATAAAGTAATCTTAAGACATTTTTTATTCTCTTTTTCTTTCCTTTTTCTTTCTTTTCTTTTTTCTCCTCGTTTTAAATTTTGCGCATGTGGGAAGCCTGTGGTAAATGCATGCCGGGACATTCAATATGGCGGCTGTACTTGCTTGAACATATTGACACAACTCGTTATAAGAAAAGACCATTATTGTTCTTCATAGCCTAAACTACCGCCTACTGGTGATTTAAAATGGAGCAAAGATATGTATCCACGGCTATATCAGATTTGGTATTGGCTGTGGTGTCGTTTGGATGTGCTTGTAACTCGACACTTCTGAGACTCAGTTCACATACAGTGTTCGGTTTTGTCCTGGTTGGCATTGCTGCTTCGTTTGGTGTGTTAAGATTTGGTGTAGTTCTTCCATCGTATCATAATGTTGTTATCAAGATTCATGGATATCTGTCGTGGTTTGCTTCCATAGTTGGTGAGTAAAGCTATTAAATTTTACTATCCCTCCCTGCTGGGCACTTCGTCTATCTGTTTCCATTCGGGACACATATCAAATTCTGACCCATCTTTAGACATTTTAGAATGTATACATATTAAACGCCCTTTTATAAAACTGTTGAAAACTGAATATAATCAGCCAGTCAGCATGTGATCACTGTATCAGCCAATCAGAATACCCATCCATCCATCCAGTCCCCCAGACCAGACCACCCACTCACTGTGTGACAGCTATCAACAATGTACATTACAGGTGTGCCACTCATAGCTGCGGGATTCTGCTTCCATCACCTAAAGCAAAGCCTCGGCAACCTACACCTGGCAAGTGCTGGAGCTGGATTCATGCTATCATTTGTACCAACTTCCCTCAACAAAAACCTGTCCAAGCTTGTAAGCACTTTTGCTGTCGTTGGGATCATATTTGTTTCCATAGTGGATAAAAACATGTTTGGTATCTGTGGATGTATTGCATATATAGCTGCTGGGGGACTGGAACCTATTGATAGACTCTTTGGACTGAGGGGGGTAGACTGGTTTCATTATGTTCTTGCTGTTGGTAATGTGTTCTTTATGTGTGGTATAACACTAGTCAAGGCTAGGTAAGTCATATCAAGCTTTGTCTCAGGTTATTTATACTCATTTCAAGTTAGTCACCTGAAAAGCTACAAACCTGAGACCAGCAAGGATTTATTAGTAGATATATTTTACATGATTCAACCAGACTTGACATCTCTTACCAGTTACAGTTTCACCTCATGCGAGCATCCTCAAGCTGTAGTTTGTATCAATTCAAAAGCTTTACTTGGTCTCATCTTTAAGGGTTTTTGGTGAGTAATGTTGTTGGAATAAGTATATGACGCAACAAAATCTTTTTGCTAATTGATCTTTTCAGCTAGGGTGTAATGTTTTTCCACTAAATCCAGACTGCATCGTCATCTTGGGAATAGAATTTGTTGAGTCTCATCCATTTGTTAATGAATCATTCAATTGTAAGTGGTAAACAAAAGAATTATTCTCAAGGGATTCAATGGTGTGGTCTGAAATGGGGAAATATTGTATCCCAGCAAAAAGTTTATTTTTATTTTTGGAGGTGTTTTCAGACTTTTTTGTAACCTTAACAACTTTTAAATGTTGCTAATTAAAAATTTGTTGAGTCAGGGTCTTGACCTTTGTAAATTTTGATGGGCTGAAACCACAATAAACCTCCTTGGCTCAGGAAATGTTTTCCCATTTCAGACCACATATCATTCCCTTGAGTATCATTTCTTTGTTTAAGGTTTGCACTCGGTTGCACATGAGAAGACACATGAATATGGATACAACTCAAACAAAGAATATTATTCTCAAGGGAATGACATGTGGTCTGAAATGGGACAACATTATGCTCGAGCTGAGGAGGTCTTTGTATCAGGAGTTGTCTGGGTTACGTAGGCCTCATAAATAATAGCACTTATACTAGATATTTTTTATTAACTGTTATATATATGTAATGTAATTATGTGAATTAAGTTCTCAAAGAAATAATTTGCATTCTCAGAGTTACTTCAATTTTCATAAACATGCAAGCTCTGTGTCTCTCAGTTGCACGCTGAAATTCATTTTTTCCGGCAAAAATATTAAAGGTACCGACTGATTAGGTGTGATTGATGGCAGTGAAAAACCAAATTTCAGCATGCACCTTGCAGACAGAGTCCACATGTTTATGAAAATTGCAGTAACATGAATTACTATCACAAAAATGTTTATAGATGTACCTAGAAAATTATGTATGGCAAATTATTAAAAATGTAGAGGTGTTTATTTTTAAGGATTTTTAGTCATTCTTCAGGATCAGTAGGCAATAAACCTTAACTTTTTTCCCTTGAAGGCGAGCTAAACAATAATTTCACCCATCCTTAAAGAGCCAGATCAAGACCCTCACCCCACCCCACCCCAATTCACACGCTCTCTGATCAAGATGAGTTCAATGATAACAATTTAATATAATTTTTTAATAGCTTTACATGTAAAATAACACCTAGTATCTGAACACATTTCTATTATACAATCAACATCAATGTTTGTATTTCACTTCAAAGTATACATCAATGTACATGTATAATATAAATTATGTGTTCACTTGAACTACTAAAAATATTAATATCATGAACCTTACTAGGAAATTAATTGATTATAAAAAGTCAACTATCCCAGATTTGAGCCAAGTTGAGGTTTTTACTATCTCAGATACAAGAGAAATGGGTTTGGGTTGGAATTAAAATGCTAGAAAGGCTAGAGTCAGGAGAACCTCAACTTAACTGAGTCACAAGAGGGATGAGCGATTGCTTCAATGTCTTATCTTACGAATAAAAGATCACTTTAGTTATCTGTACAGTAAATATCTATTAGCTAGATTGATTTAAACCAGTAAAACTTAAAACTATTGATCATAGCCAAAGGCTTTTGTCAGATAAAATTAATTTTGTTAAATGAAGAGGTTTGAGCAAGATAAATTTTCAATTGTCATATTCTTTAAAAAACGACTAATACCCAGACTAATACCTCTGGGGTAATCCAAGTCAGGATGCTGCAAACTCACAGATTGAAGTTAAAGTTTTAAACAAAATGCTAAATATGACAAATGGAAGTGTTCTTGCACATGTGCAATTCAGCATATTTTAAAATCATAAATCAACCAATCTGCAACACCAAAAATTCAAATTTTTAACAATTTTTTTTATCAACAGTCTTATATTACATTATAATTGATAAATACATTTTCAAATAAATTAATAATAGCTTCAGATAGTATCAGTTTTTAAATTTAAGAATTTTTAGTTTGTTAATAACATTTGAAAACATCCTGAAAAAATCTAAGAGGATTAACACACACACAAACACACTTACTAGCTATGTATGTAATTCTTGCACCCTCTCATCTCCATGGAGAATGAGGACCAATGGAAATTATAGAGGGGAGGGGTTAGGGATTGAATTACTATACATAATGGAAATTAAACTAGGGTAAGGGCGGGCAAGAGAGTTAAGGATCCTGAGATTTGTGTTGTAGAAGACATTGAAAAATCTTCAAATAAGAAATAAACATTGGAAAGGGTCATTGGGGAGAAACATTTGACACACTCAACTGGGAGGTCGGGGTGCAAGAATTCAATACAATACCAAATAATGTTGTTTAAATCGTTTATGACCTCCTTTAATCATTAAAATGTATTTCAAAACTAATCTTTTGATATCCTAGAGACTTTTCATGTCACTCTATGATATACAAACTGGATCTAGATACTCCATTACACTTCTGGCAATCATAGTAATGCCATTTAACCTAAGAAATCAGTGATTTAAGTAGAACATAGAATAAAGGTTTTTTAGGGTTTATTATAAAACTTATATTTATTCCTCAAGTTTAATGCAATTAATCTGTAGGAAGACCATTAGACTCAAGTTTTTTAAATCCAATCATGTCATCTTTTTATAACATTTTAGCAAAGCTAATGGCCTACTTTTTCTTGTCATTTAACAGCTATTCAGTCTTATGTATATTAAACCACCTTTAGAAAAAATATGACGTACCATAAAATATTACCAACTTATGTGTATAATATCATTTTATTACTGCCGTACTTCAAAATGACGAAGGGGAAAATTATTGATTTTAATGACAAAGTTTATTGCCAGAAAAAATTGTAGCATAGAGCAAATTTATTTATTATATAGCATAAACCTTTTGGTAAATGTTCTTTTAACCTTTCAAATTTTGAATTATTTTTATTGAAGTTAGCTTATTTGTCATCATGAAGCCTTCAGAGATGCTTAAAGCAAATCAAGCAAATAATTAAAACTGAACAAAATACTTTCAAAGATCAGTTATAAAACCGTAATTCAAAATAAGCCATTTTTTATATTTATTTTAGTGGTCAAACTCTGTCATTTAGTTAGATAATTGGAACATCATCAGTCTTAAGTTGATTATCTTAGAGGCTAACATTTTGTTGGCTTCAAGATTGTCCACAAATGCCAGTTCATAAAACTCACTCTCCAGCAGATCAGCTGTGAACTCATGATAATGTAATGTAGGATTGACAGAGAGGTCACCAAATGGACTGCGAATCATCATGAACTTGATCTTTACTTGTCCCTTTGTTTTCTGTATGAGCTGGAAAAGCAGATTTCTCTTAAGGATCTTTTCACTGCCGTCAACCTTGACCTTGACGACCCACTGCTGTCCTAAAGCATTAAAGCGGCTTGTCTCATAGTAGAGCTGTGGGATGAAGTCATCTGTCCGGTATGATCTCAGCTGTAAATCTAGAATTTTGATTGATTAAGGAAGAGCATGCAAACATGTTATACATATACAATCTTTTTCTATCACGCACAAAATATATATGTTTATAATCAATAGCTGTTGAGTAAATCTTTGAATTAGATCTATTACGATTAGTCCCAAGCAACCAAAGATTGAAAGATGCCCTTCTTTCCTGTTGTTCAATTTTCACAACATGCTATTGTGAGAGGAATGAAAGATGAGATGTCCCCTGCCCTGCCCTGACAAAGCATCCACCACCCCTCCCACCCCTAGCAATTTATGACCAGTCACTAAAAACCTGAGAAATGCAGACACACCAATAATTAGCTGTAAATCAATCATAACACTGCTAGGATTAAATGTGAGGAAAAAAGAAAAAAATATTAACCATTTATAGCGATCTTTTCAAAGGACAGGAGCCCAACAATGGTTTCTAGTGTCTTCACTCGCTTTGCATTTGTTTCATCTATTGTATCCAAAGCTGTCATTAGCTCAATGCCAGTCTTATTGGGATGCAAACATTCCCCTTCATGCCCAGATAACTCATGAAACGGGCCTTGCCACTGGCAACCCAGTCTCTTGTACTTGCATTCAACCAACCTGCAGACAAGGCAAGGGTTGGAAACAATGTGTAAACAATAAGTAGTGTTACCAACACTTGCTATCAATGCAAACACAACACAAACACACTGATGATCAATATATATAAATGAAATGTGCAGTGATCAAGTCAAATGGACAAATCTATATGAAATTAAAAGAAAACATGCAGAACATTGAACCATAATTGCTGCAAAAATATAAATATCGAGATATCATTTAACAGCATGAGTTATCGCATTGTGCTAACAGTTAATTTATCTTATAAAGCAAATATTAAGGCAGATACATAATCAGTAATAACTAATGAATTAATCATTTATTTATAATATTAATAAGAGATATTTTAAAAAAGAAATGTTTCGTTAGTAAAAATAAAAATGATTTGAGCATTTGAGAAGCTCCGAAGGATATGGACCACCTGGTAAAAGCAAGAAAAAAAGAGAACTCATTAGTTTATATTTTTGTTGGTCGACTATAAAGCTACACTACTGGCTGAGAACCTGTGAAAATCCTTTGAAAACCTGTGAAAAATATCTCTGTATTTTAGAAATTTCACAGGATTTTCACAGGTACTGGAACCTGTGAAAGTGTTCCCTTTCACAGGTCTGGATGTTTGAAAATCCTGTGTAGTGAAGTTTTTTTGTTGTACATTTTCGGTTAATTCTAGGAAAGATAAAAGAGGGAAACCAGATTTTCTGCTGAAAAATGGACGTTGATATATATTACTAGTATAACCACTGTTTTGATTGCTATGTGCAGCCAATTGAGACATGCCTCTCGACAAGTAAATAGGCAAATTATAGACTACTGTAAAACTTCATTCCTACTAGCCATTCTGAGGTTAAGAAAAAAACTGGTTGGAGTTTGTACCACAATGCATTACGAGTATGTTTTAAGGGAGTAAATAGACACCATCTTTGAAATACATGTCCCCTAATGCACTGTAATGCAACTTCACCCAGTTTTTTTCAACATTGGAACACCTAGTATGCATGTAGCTTCTAATGGTTCCATATACCTTAGATTTTACTTTGCAATTTTATTGATGGTAGTCTAGTACCATCCACCTGTCGCCAGACTTTGTCTAGATCTGCACATAGCAATAAATGCTTACAGTGGTTATAGTGGTTTGTAAATTAGTCACCAAATTGTTTTCGTTTACTCGACAAAAAAGAAAAAAAAAATTTTAGAAAAAAAAAGGTTTTATTGGGACTTTGTAACTCTAAAAGAATCTCCCTCTTCTCCCTACCCCAAAAAGCCTTAAAGTAGAGTAAAGTGAAATAGCTTTACCCACCCTTAAACCAATTATATCTTCAAAAACAAAGCTTCAACCTTGAAGCATCAAAAGATTAATTATACAAAGATGGAGAACCTTTTCTTCTTGCACCACCATGAACACAGACAACTAGTACAGGGGTCACTCTTAGCTAGTTAATTAGTTGGACTGGTTGCGGCCGGGGCAAATAAAGAAGCATAATCCCTGCCAGCACAAAAACAGGAACCTTGCCCTACCCTGCTTCAGCTAGAAATAATACGAAATGGCTAACTTTTTCACATGATAACATGATTTCAATAACTTTGTCAGTTTCTTAAGGTACACCAATATGGCTGCCATCTCTATTGTCAGTTAACTCTCTAGGGACAAACGCTCTACAAAACATGTCTGGAATCTTTAGAGGCCCAGGGCATCCAGGAAAGAGGACTTAGTACCATATCATAGGGGCACCATAGACTATATATCCTGTCCCCCTCCAAATTCCAGGATGTCCTGGGTCTTCAAAGAAACTTTAGAATCTGCCTTTTCCCCCGGCCCTTTTCACACTGGACTGATCACAGACTTGGCACACCCTCTGCCTAGTTACCGCTGTTTGCATAACTACGCGACCACCCCAGACAAATCGTGTCGTGTAGTTTGCAATAGACTACTGTCAATCAAACACCTCATTCTACTTGGACGTACTCAACCTCTTTGCAATCGCTTTCGGAACTTTCCTTCAGGATATCTGACTGAGAAAGTTTGATAGAAAAGCCAACTCACTGATCCAAATGTGTATAAATGGCGTCAACATGAATGATTGACAGTAGTCTATTGCAAACTACATGGCTTGGTTTGTGTCTGGGGTGGCTGCGTAGTAATGCAAACGACGGTAAGCAAAAAGTTTGAAAAGCCTCCCCATAAAAAAAGAGAAAAGAAAAAAAGCTTCAACTTTGCAATCCTCAGGATAGATTTTGAACTCTCAATTTAAAATAGTTTACTACACAAGAAGATAACAAAAATTATACCCTTTCATTTTGGACATAATGCTTTCCCATTTACACTTTGTCTCCACTTTTTTCCTTATCTCAGTTCTGCTCAAAAGGCACAGTAGAGTCCCACTATCTAAAGCCTACTGGAGATTAGATAAAGGGTTCAAAAGAAGAGGGGTTTGAAGATGATGTTAGGGACGGATCAGAAATTAGCAGGGGGAGGAGGGGTGCAAAAAGGGGGAGGGTCATAACATTTTGAGCCCCCGAAAATGGAGGGTCATGAAAAAAAAAGTGAGGGTCATAAATTCATGCTCTTGCAGATGCCCCTCAAAACACTGGGAATCACCTTTTTTGGGGGGAAGGGCATGACAGGTCATTTTCGGTTTTTTTGGGAGGTACTTCTTGGGGGAAGGTCATGATATTTTTGGCCAAGCCCAAGGGTTACTATTGATGTGGAGTGTCACATCTTTTCGGCACTCAATTTCAAATCCCCCCTCTACCCCCTGCTAAATTCTGACCAGTCCCTTACACAGAATGATCTGCAGCGACGATTTTTCGCGATACGCCATTGCAAGAAAAATTGATGCCATGTCATATTATACGCCACAAGCAACAAATTTTGAATCCAGCAACACGTTGCGAGTTTTTGATTCAGCTCGTATGGCGTATTGCAAAAAATCCTTGTCATATGTAACATGTAACATGAGAAATCTAAAATATCCATTAAAGATAACACGACTCTGCTGCTTATTAATAGAATTATAACTCAATCATATGTTCTCAAGATCACTTTCAGAATGGGAAAACAATATGCCCAAATTCTGAATGAATATAAGAAATATCAAGAACACAATACATTGGAAATTTAAAAAGATTTTATTGAAGATAAAATACCATAATCACCAGTACAACAAATACCAGTACCAAGTAATAGTACAATCTATACTTATATTATAGTTACATATATAAGGAATTGTGTGATGAGCAGTTCCATTAAGGGTATTCATTTTAATTTTTCATTTGTTTTTTTTCTCTATATTTATGCTAAAGTTTATCTACTTTTAAATAAATATAGTTTAGTGATTAAACCTGAAGGATATAACATCGGACTGTGGGATTTTCTTTCTACATAAATTAATTTTTTTACACATATGGTAATGTAAAGAAAACGCAAGTATAGCCGCATGATTTGTTCGTTCCCCATTCATTGTTTCTGTTTACTGGTTGAATAGTCTGACCGATACCTTATAAATTATCAATGATCAAACACACTGAGACAGAGACATTTTGTTATACTTTTATTAACTTCAAGTTCTTTATAGCAATGTATAAACAGGAAATGAAAAAGAAAAATCAAATTAATATAATATGTTTACATTTGAGACTTACCTTTCAGTGCACTCCTCCTTCTCATGCAACCTTACAATAACACGAAGAAATTCCTGGCTGCAGTACTGACATTTTGTAGGCAGCTCTGACACTGCCTTCTCAACTGCAAGGTTTCTGGAGCAGTTGCTGCGACTGATCTCTGTCCTGCAGTTTGGACAAGTTGCCTGCTCATCTTTCAATCTAGCATCTGCTAGGAGATGAGTAAGACAGCTGCAGCACATAAGGTGTCCATGTGGGCACTGCAATTATTAATAGAATGAAAGAAATGTGCATTAGCATGACAAAGGTTGCGTATCCAAATTTTATGGTGATAACTGATCTAGATAAATATTGCATAAATTTGGCAGGTTTCATACAAGGAAACCCATTCTCACTCACAAATGGTTAATAGACCTCTTTAGCTTCGTTGTTTGTTGTGCACAGCATTTCAGACCATGTGATGCCACTCTTGGGAGTTAATTTTTTCAATTGTAAATACTTTAACATGTTCATCATAAAAGAACAATTCTCAAAGGAATGTCATGTGATCTGAAATGGGCAATTTGCACACAAAGCTAAGGTCTATTGGTAAGAGTCTCAACGTTTTTACTGGCAGCTCTCCACCCCATTTTCTATCAAGAATTTATTTCTGAGAATATTCTCCTATTCCTCACCCTTTTGCTACAATTAAGGTACTTTAATTAATTAGCATTATGAAAGTATCAAATCTATCTGATTGGTTAATAAAAATTAACACTTTGAGAGGGATAACCAAATATGGAAATCTCCTATTATTGGTTTGTAAATCTTTAATTGCTTTGTTTAGAAGCCTGCCAGCTATTGTACACATATATAAAAGTAATCAAACATTGGTGTGAAAACACCTTAACTCTTTTCCTAAAAATGTTTGAATTTTTTTCATTTCCACTCATCACATTGGTATTCATGTGGGAATTCCCACCCGGTGGTGACTGCCACAATGCATTAGCCATTCATGAACTACTTGAAAATTACTCAGACAGTTGGACATAAAATTAAAATTTTGAAATGAGGCAACAAGATACTGAGCATATTTTAAATGAAATAATATTTTATATGAAATATAGGAAAATATAAAATCACTAGTATCTCTTGGGAACTTGAGGACACAATATTTCGGTTCTATGGAAGTTCGAATCATTATAAAGCAATATGCCAAAAAAATACCACACGTACTGCAATTACGATTTTTCTGCGAAAATTATAAGCTTCAAGATAATTGACAGACGATGCCAATATAAACATTAAATTGGATATTTTTCAATAATTGTCAAAGGACCTTTTTTGACAATAAATTAGATGAGGAAGACAACGATGTTATCAAATTTCTGGAATGTAAATAATGCTAAAAACCTTACACGTAAGATATAAATAAGAAATCTTTTGTAATTTTTCTCAAATTAATGGTGTAGTAGACATGTGGAACAGCAAAGGCTGGGGTAGGTAATGGCGAACAACACCGTGGTTACTCCCTTTTCCTCTTCTGTGCCGCGATAACCTCAAACGGGGGCGAGTTCGATTTTCTAACTCGTTTTTTTTGTTTTGTATTATTTTGCCATATAACACGGATTTGGTAAAAGCTTTACTCTGCTTTTAAAATAGCATATCTATTTTATTGAGAGTCAGATTTGTTACTGTAGAAATTCTGTTTTCGTAAGACATCTAGATTTCTCGTAAAAAACACAACTCGACTTGCCTGATAGATCTCCTTAGAAGGTAAAGACAAACATACGTTACAGCTCAGAATATCGTACAATCTCGTTTCCAAATCTTCCAATTTCTTGGTCTCAGTTTTGGGTTTTTTCGCTGGAGGTTCGATATTTTCTTTATCGGTGGTGTCTTCAACCTGTACGATGCCTTGATTCTCGGTATTACTCATATTTTCGCCCGTTTCTAGAAAGAAGTATTCGTATGCACTGCTACATTACCCCGTGTTTGTTGTTTTATGATCTAATTTTGTTTATGTTTTTTAACGACGTCACGTGCTAGTCATCTGTACGCGTGCGTAATTATAATATTACGTCACAGTACAAAGGTCAGATGCAGTTTATTTGGAGACACAGGGATCCCAGCTTGTGCCATTGGAATAACTTTAACGAACATCAAAGTTGAACCTCCGGTCAAATATTATTCTTTCGTTCTTGAAGTCTTATGAGCAAGACCAACAACCGTGACAAGTACAAATTATTCTTATGAAAAGTATAAGGCCTGCTTCACACTTTTTTTTTAAACTCCCAAAATAAACCTTTTGCGAACTCCCTTCAGTGATCCAAAACAATGGTCAAGTCAAGTTACAGTAAATGTATGAACACATCAAGTCCAACCTCCACTTGGAGCCATTGTTTCATGGTCACTCAAGTGAATTTGCAAAAGGTCTATACTTCAGCAAAGTTGTCACAAATTTGGAATGACAGATTTGAGAATACTATGATGCTATATGTTTCTTCAGTTAACACGAATGACAAGAGCACCTCCCTCACACAAATTATGCCTTCAGCTCTCAAATCTTGTAAATCAAGGAAACAAAATATAAAATTACATATAAGATCCTTTATCATTTAATTCTCAAAGAACGAGCGTGATATGGAAAAAGACCAATGCTGATATGAGTGTATCAGCACTTCTCATCTGCTAACGCTGGGTATGATAGGATTTAGTGAGACTTTGAGCATTTCTTTGCAGAATTAAATGATAAACAACTTATCAGTAGGCTAAGCATCTGATATGGCTTTGCATTTTTACTTGTCACTTGCATTTTAGCTCGCCAAAATACTCCATGTCTCTTAAAAAAACAAAGCCATATCAGATGCTTAGCCGACTGATAACCTCTATTTATTTATTTGAATGACATTTTTTAGATATGCAGTGACTTCTAAAAGTGTTGTGTCTAACACAGAATCTTAAATTTCTCTCTAATTTTCTTGGTAATACATCACAGCTGAATCTGACACTATTTCAGACAGCAATAGGAAATTTCACAATTTTTGCCAAAACATCAGGTTCACGGAAGTGATACAGCAATATTGTGACAACCACCAGCACACAATATTGACATTGAGCTGGAAGTCACAACTGTTTCATAACATACTTAGTAGTCATACAAAAAATACTCTATCTAAGAAGTGCAATCTTCACAGTACTATAATATGGATCAAAGAATTCCTAAACAAGAAGACTAGAGGATTTGTATTATATTATCACTATAAATTAATAAAATTTATAATTGATCAGGAAGACTTATAATGCATGGATATAATAACAAATCTAAATTCTGCTAAGTGGAAGACACACAAACGTTTTGAAGTGGACCATTCTGTCACAGTAAGTTTAAAAGCATTTTGATCATGATTATGATGTTGATGATTTTATCATTCTCTTATATCGCAATAACATCAGTTTTGTCTTTTTCATTACCAAAGTTATTGCTTTCCTGAAATTTGCCAGAAAAATCCTATGGCAAACAAGTACTCTAGTACATTTTTTCTTATAAACACTTGCAATACTGAGGTAGAAAAAGGACTACTACTTTCTTCTCACATAATTAATGGTTTGACACACATGATGCCAGAAAACAGATCTGTATAGATAAATGTGCTTAGCAGGCATCCATGTCTTGTTATACATGAAGGATCTTCAACATGTACTTGTTGCAACATGGTGGTGACAAAACAGCAATTTTAATAATAAAAGATTGACTARGAGAAAAATTTAATTTATTCATCAGATCCTGTATTGCGCTTTTGTCTTCTGTTTCTGGGTGAGCGTCTGGGAGAATTTTTTACTGTTGAGACAATCAAAAATAAAATGAGTATTTACAGCGCTGATAGAAAAGAATGTACACGTACAGTGCTATTATAGTTAGAGATTCCCAAATTGAATGCATATACCATTAGATAATATGCATTTTAAATAGGTTGTTTGCCTGATGACACTGTTTTACTACCACATCTAAGATGCTATGAAATGATGCCATAATGTATTGGGTCTGTTAGAAGACAGTAGAGGGTATCTAATAGAGTAACTCAAACTTTTTTATTCATCATCTTTAAGTATCGTAAAAGGATATTATTTTCTGAAGCCTATAAAACTTCTCATGACATTTCAGACTTTTGGCTCTATCTATTCAAGTATGAGCTCATATCTTTTTGACTGTTTAAAGCCAAAAAGCCAGGATTTATCAATAGCTTACCAAATTCAGTAGTAGTTTCTTTTGGTAGCCATTCGTAATCAATATCTCCATCTTGTTGGGTACCCATCTCCACAGCAGGCTTAGAAGCCTTCTTACCCTGGAAAATATTCCATCACATTAGAAAAGATAAGGAAGCAATTAGCAACAAACAAATAAGTCTATTCAAATGTAATTCATATTTGACCATCTTCATATAATGTTTATATATTTACAACCATTACCCTCATTAATGGGCTTTTACACTACGTTCACTCAACATGCACTACCACAGGGCTCGAAATAGCAGCCTGTCAATGGCCAAATGACAGGACAACTTTCAGGTTTGCCAGGCGAAAATAAGGATTCACTGCCAAATGAATAATAAAATGGCATGCAAAATTTACTGGAATGACCTCCTTTTACCATGCTTCTTTACTATGGCAGGCTAAAAATGTTTACTATTTCGAGCCCTACTTTCACTGATTACAACACACAAGACAACTTTCATGTTGATCTTTATGGAGGAAAGCAAACTGGAGAAAAATCCTTGCAAGTAAGAGTACAAGAAATCAAACAAACTCAACTCACACCCATGAACCCTGGTGTGAACTACAAAGTGGTGAGTAACAATGTCATATAGCGTCACTCATAATTTATAATAATTGATGATTTAAACAGATCATCCTTTAAGGAACAAGCACAACAGTGATAGTTTGTTACCAACCTTGATTGATGAGAGACCGTAATAACCACCCATCACAACCAAGGCTCCTACAGCAACAATAAACAGGTAAAGGAAGAACCTAAAAAATCACAAAATAAAGTACTTTGTCAATAATGTAAACGATACTCAAAATTAGGATATGTAAAATGTTAATTACTTGAGACTTAATCAATTCATAGACCTTTCCTGAATTCGCTTGAGTGACTGAGAAACTACGATGGTTCCATGTAGAGGTTGGACTTGAGAAAGTGCAGTAAAAGTATGAAAATGTCAAGTCTAATTTTGTCGACTTGGACTATTGTTTTGTGGTCACTCAAGAGGAAAAAAATCTAATAGATTAACAAATCATGATACTATGACTTTAAAAAATTTGAATTGTTATCTTACGTTTCGCCATCCATTCCTTCATCACTTTCACTAAGCTGCACGGTTTCATTGAATACTGCATCACGAAAGTGTTTACCATCCTACATATATAAAATTGCAAAAATTAATATCAATCATGGCTTTTACAAAATGGTATTATGGAGAATCAAGTATTGCAAGTGACATATGCATCTCTTTATCAAACTGGACACTTATGCCAGTACAATTAAAAAAACTATAGTAGCCTAGAAATCTTTGTATTAAACAAGCTTAGAAAGACAGTTGGGTAGGACTTTGTACAGTCACAAAGAAACAATCTGGCTTGATCAAGTGTTTAAGCTAAATAGTGTGTAAGCGGCAAGCCAGATAGAAGATCAACCCCCTAGCAAGCAGGTAAGCTTAAAAGACAGTACATAATGTAAGCACCTGTGTCATGTTAAAGCACTCAACCTGGTCATATGTTTATGTTAGGCTGTTGTGAGGTAGTCAGCTTATTACAAGCTGGTAGACTGACTTCAATCTAACAAATTTCTATAAAACAAATACACTTACAGCATCCTTATACAACAAGTTGATGGAGAGTCCAAAAGGTCTTCCACCAAAGGACTCATGAGGATGGAAGGCATATTCAAAGTTGGCCTACAAGAACATCAAGAATATAATATAAATATAAATACTCAATTTTATAAAACTGGACATGAATAGGAACATTTACTCATAAAAACTAAAATTATGGAAACTCAAATATTTACCTGCTCTCCTGGTTTGACTATGGTATTATACTGGAAGGCAGTAAACTATAAAAAAATTGAACATTAATTATTTAATTCATTGAAGGGTCTATATATATTTATTGTCTGAGTTCTCAAGTTTTCCTCCCTCTCCAATACCTAACAATTCTAATTCGATCTAAGATTAAGCCTTGATCCATCTTTGATCAGGTCGGAGGTTGTTGCAAGTCATTTGACAGGGATTTCATAAAGGTTTGGGGATCTGAGAATGCTCCGATAATGAGCAGAAAATTCTCAAGCTTAAACTGCCATTAGCTTGATACTTATAAAATTGGTCCCTAGAAATCTCCGCCTAGCTATAGTTGATGACCTATTCTATCATGTCAAAATTTAATGAAACCTTGCATCAATAGAATATTGAAGATTGCATCATATTGTACTTACATTTTGGATATAGTAGCTGTAGTCTTGAGGATACCTTAAAACCAGAAAACAAATCCTGAGAAAATGACTTGATCAAGATATTATTAGTTAGATATATATGCACTTTACCTGAGAGAAGCTTCCATCATGTCAATGACAAAGTCATTCCTGCCATTATTACTGAAGCTAACCAAACACTTGGAAACCACACCAGCAATAAATTCTACAAGAAGTCAACATGAAACCATCTGTTATTATTCTCATTTTTATCATTATACAACTTACAAAGTTTAGTTTTCTTGAGATTTAAGTTCTGCAATGTACATGTATGTACAGACAGTACAATACAGTGATGCTTACGTTGATCATTATTCTTGACAAAGAGAATGACAGAGTCTGCATCTGGAGATGATTTTAGTTGATCCTCCTTCTCTTCCTCTTCGGCATCTCCTTTCTGAAAGCAACATCATATAAATGTAAACAACATATGGTCATAAAAAAGTAAGAAAAATTTTGAATGTGTGTATCGTTAATGCATGATGTAGAGAGCAATGATACTTCATATCCCATAGTACATCTTTGAAGAACTTATCATTATCATTATTATTGCGTATTTTACACAATTATAATAAATAAGAAATGTCTGCAAAGTTACAATGCATAACAAAGAATGTGTTGATCAGGTATTTGAATAATCCCTAACCTATACAATAGCTTAAAAAGCCTGTGCAAACAAAGACCAAAGATAAAAGACTGATTGCTGAATAAACATACCACTGTCTCTTTTGGTGCACTCTCTTCTGTTGTACTCTCTTCTGGTGTTTCTTTCGCCGTTTGTTCTTCATCCTCAACCTAATAACAAAACAACAAGAATATAACAAATCTTTACAATAAAAATAATGGTCCTAATGTACCAAAACGTTGAAGGAATTATGTAAAGGATTTTTTTGTTCCTCTTGTTGTGTCCACCAATATGGGAAGTCTTATCTCTTACTGCTTCATTCTCTTGCAAGCCACATATATTTATATACAATTTTTTTCCAGTCAACTAGAGAAATCACATGCTTTTGAAATTCAACAGTAGACACTTTTAAAATATTTAAATAAACAGTACAACTTAATATGAATTAATGGAATGAATGTATAGCCTAAATAGTTCGAATTTTCTTCACTTATCATCAGCAACATTTACTAAATAGTAACATAAGATAGCGAAAGCAATATAACAAAATAGGAATGGATTACTCTTGATAAACGAATGACAGCGAAATATAATCTATAGGTTCTTTAATATAAATGGATTCACGATATTAGTGTTATGTGTAATCAAAGGAACGCGTTACTTTAAGGACAAAGACTTGCGTGACCCTCACGGCCATATAGTGTATTCAAATCGACGAACAAATTTTACCCTTTTATATTCAATTTTTTCACCTTAGCATCTTCGTCTTCAGCAGTAGTATCGCCATCGTCGGATGCTCCTTGTGCATTTGGCTCTTCGTCTTCGAGTTCGTCTTCTTGAGCAATGACTACTACAGTACATGYAACAAATAACGATACGCCACGTACGCAAAGACAAAATAGAACCAGCGTTAGTAAATACTACTTTTTTAGGAATATTTAGAGTCTTGTAAAAAGAAACTAGCTAAGTGAATATTTAGATAAAAGTTAGAAATGTCCTCAGAATGTGATTTAGATGTAATCAGAGTTACGAGAAAAGCGATTTGTTGATGTTTTTGCGCGAGAGCAAAAACTATGAATGGGACCCGTTCAAAAGTAAACTAAACGCCAAGGCAAAACGCCTTTACGAGAAGTCTTTTCTAAACGTGAATATTCAAACAACATCTCACTAGTCAAGAACCATCAGTCCAAATGCCTGAGACATCATCGGACAAGGATTTCAGACGAAAAGCAACCGCAATCGTCTAGGGAACCATTGATAAATCTATCCAACAATAAAAAGTTTCACAACTACAATCGCTTACCATTGCCATTGAGAAGGAGTGTTGAGGGCAAAACAAGGAGGGTTAGGAGGAGGAACTTTTCCAGTAGCCGAAACATCGTCAATCGTTCGAATTAGTATTTATTCGAACAGGATGGAAGGGGATTTCTGATTGTGTGGAACACAATCAGTCGAAAAATGGCTTCTGGAACAAAGAGAGAGAAGAGAAAGAACGCTCCCGCAAATACTCCTTGTCAGCGGCTGCTCTCACCTAGTGCCAGTCTTCGCTCCTCGTTTGATTGAAAAGGTGAATCTTCTGTGCAGTTTGTGAAATTTTTTTTGAAGTTTAACGCCCAAATTTTTCATTTTTAACCATGTTAATCAAAGTAAAGGTAAGAGTAGACAATTAAGAACCAATGCTGGTAGTTGACTTTTTAATATTTTAATAAATGAAGGCTAATTTTATCAATTATTTTATTTTTCAAATGGTCGACCAAGACATTGACAGGCAAAGAGGTAACTAAAGCAATAATAAGTGTATGCTTTTTTCTTAAATTTGAACTTATTTTCCTGTTTATCTGGGATAAAATTTGATCTTTTTGTTTCTTAGATTGAAATCGACATAGAGCCTACAGATAAGGTTAGTTTAGTTGAACTATACAGTACTTATCATAAATTATAATGTACATGCTTTACGTACAAATGTGTGAATGACTATGCATAAATATGACTTAATAATGAACGATGTTTTTTTACAAAAGACTTTGAGCTTTAAGCTTGAACCTTTCACAATAAGTTAATATTGAAGCATTTCTTGTTTATAAATACAGGTTGAACGTATAAAAGAAAGAGTAGAAGAAAAAGAAGGAATACCCCCTCCTCAACAAAGGTAGTAAATAAAATCTCTTTTTATCTCAACTGCAGTTTGATAATAAAATTATGGATTTTATCATCACTCATTGGCTGAGATCAAGAGTCTTTAAAGAAAGGCCAACAGACGTTTTCTTAGATGGCAATCATGGTGCATTATGGTCGTCTAGCTTCAGTACAAGAATTTTTTTATGCGTACTGTGTGCTCTCATACAACACGCGCTCCCAACCAATCAGAATGCAAGATTTAGAGCAGTAGTTATTTTATAATGAACTCTGAAAGGCCTATTTTCGAGTTTCCTATGATGAGAGGGCTGGGTCAAAACCAGACAATCATAAAAATGATACCATGAATCTACATTTCCCAATGATTTTAAAGTGCTACTACGACGAAAATCTCTCAAACTTGGTGTGACAGAGTCAAAAGAACGTTATTTTAAACAAAAGTAAATCGGACTTTAACCTAGTTTTAGTTAGTTTAATTACGATTTCGGATACTAAGGAATGTTCTTCCTTCATATCAAGTGAAATCTGCAAACAAGTAGTTAATTAATTTCCTGGGATTACATGAGTAATGTTAGCATAAGCCACGTTTTACGGAACAAGTGCGCCTTGGGCGTATTGTGCGTGGATTATTGTAATACATGAGGAATGCAGACTCAAGTATAAATAGAGCTTTTCAAGTAAATTTAGTCAGTATAGCAAGAGAACTTGGAAGAGCGCCGAACCACAGATTAAAGACAAAGAACTCGCGTCGTTAGAAGACAGAGAGCTGTAATCTCATTCTCGTTTTGTACTGATTTGTGATGTACTAAGCTGGGTTGTTGAATAAACTCTTTTGCCAACACACTTGCAATCTGTTTAGTGATTTGAGCGCCTTGCCGCCGGTTACATTGGATTCAGCTGAAACTTCCTAAGAATACTCTTTAAAGGTCCAATAATCACTGTACAAAGTGTTTTCTCTATATTCAGGACGAAAGTATGATATTTTTACGATTATTTTTTGGAGTCTGTGACGTCATACACTCAACATCGAA